GTCAAAATTATCATGATTTTGAAAGCGGGAAAAAAACTTTATGAAAGCAGATACTTTTTTTAATACCCGTTCGAAATTTCAATCCATACAAACTTTGCTAAAACAAAATTTTAATTTTAATCTACTTAATTTTCCATCGACTCAAAACTCAAATAATCTAAAATTTATTACATCGAAATCTTAATTCTATTTAAATTTTCACCCACGTAGCACCGAAGATTTAATAAATATGTATTAAATAATTATTTTCAATGTTCGCAGTATTTAGAATAAAGGTTAAATAAAGCTTCTGTAAATATTTAAATGTCCGCACTTGAGCAAATATAAAGTGAGAATATTCCTGTGACATTCAGGCGATATCATAATGTCCGCTTCACGGGAACATTCCACGGTGATATTCCTGTGACATTCGTATGAAACTTAGGGAATATTCCCGTGAAATTTGTGTGATATGGAGGGAATATCCCTGTGATATTTAGTGGAATATTCCTGTGATATTCAGGTAATATTCCTCTAATATTGAGGGAATATTCCAGTGATATTAATGAAATAATTTATAAAAATCAGAAAAAAATTAAATTTTTTTTTCCATTTATTTATTTCGTTATTTAAATATTCAAAACAATCAAAACAAACAACATTTTAGAATTTTATAAATTACAGGAATATTCTCTTAATATGACAGGGATATTCCCTCAATATCACAGGAATATTCCACTCACTATCACAGGGATATTCCCTTAAGGGGGGAACACCAGTTGTAACTTTCGAAAAATCGATTTTTTTTTTGCATTTTCTTAAAGTATACATATTTAGAAATGTGTCTGTAAATTTTAAACTTGATCCGGTGAAAAATGAATGAGATATACAGAACACTGCAGCGGCGCGTCCCGTGGCTTCAGACAAGGTGGCCAGCCATACCTGACCCTAACGACAGATGGCCTTTTCCTATGATTTAGAAACGGCAACCACTGCAGAAGAGTTATTATATGGTCCAGGAATCGATGACTTTTTGTTAATTGGAAACAAAATTTCTTCTGAACAAAAAAAAGTAAGTTGAAACTTTGAATGCGTTTTTCTCAAAATGACATTTTCCAAGTCGGTGACCACGATTACTCGAATACCATTAAACCGATTTATTTAAAATTTAGTGTGCTTCATTTACACATATAAGTCTAGTTCGTGATCGAAGGATTTTTTTTTTATGCAAAACTTTTTTTTATATAGCTGAAAATCGACCGTATTTTTTTAACGAAAATCATACTTTTGACTTTGACAGGTCGCCATTTTGTCAAATTTTTTTTTTAAATCCTTCGATCACGAACTAGATAATCTTATAATAAATGTAAATCAATTTCATTTTTGTATTTCAGACGAAGTATACTTGCAGAATGCTGGTCAACGCAATTCGCCTTTTTTCTTAAGGCGCCACTTCAATGGCTCATATCCCTAAAAGTTTTTGTTAAAAAAAATTTTTTTTTCTTTTAAATTACAGCTTTTAACATGTACTTTTAACTAATAAATAGTATTCTTTAAAAAGATTCATTGTTCTTTTGGAAAATATTCTTGTAAAAAGCATTATTTCTTGAGTTACAACTGGTGTTCCCCCCTTAATATCACACAAATTTTACCGGAATATTTCCTCAGTATCATACGAATGTCACACGAATATCACAGGAATATCACCGTGGTATGTCCCCGTGAAGCGGACATTACAATATCGCCTGAATATCACAGGAATATTCCCATTTGATATCACCTTGACATTCAAGCAATATTCGGTGCTACTTGGGTATGCATGTAATGTATAAAAACAGAATAGTTTTGGTCTAAATATGAAATAGAGTTAATAATTATCAATATAATTAATTGAAATCAATTCTTTCATTAAGAAGAATTTCTATTGTAGTCGCAGTTATGAAAACTTGGTGTGAAATATTTTTTTACCTTTACTACTGCAAATGGATTAACGAAAAAATAATGAAGGATTAAAATTAATTATTAAAAAATAAAAATTATTATTAAATACTGAAAAATAATTCACACCAAGTTTTCATAACTGCACCTAAAATAGAAATTTTTCTTAATCAAAAAATTGATTTCAATTAATTATATTGATAATTATTATTTCTATTTCATATTAAGACCAAAACTATTCTTTTTTTCTACATTACACGCATATTTTAAAATTATAATTTGTATAATTTCCCATTTTTAAATTTAATTATTTATATTAAAAAAAGGAATTAAAACTTAACATAATCCTAAAATTTACTTGGATAACTTTCATTTCACGAATTGTTTCGATGGTTAAGATAATTTTTGCTTGGTTATATACTGTCAAAACAAAAAATCCATTTTTAAATTATCTCGCCGTTTTCCGCAACCAATAAAATCACTTGTAGCTTAAGAGCAAGATTTTTTTTCCAATCATAGTTGCTCGTATAGCTCGGTTGGTTAGGTATTGCGTTTGCGTTCGTCGAACCCGTGTTCGATCCCCGGTCCCCCCAAATTTATTTTCAAAATTAAATTCGTTATTTAAAGTTTCTAAAATATTATTTAATCAAGTATGAGTCCCACAATTTAAGAAATTTTTTTTTATTTTTGAAAACTAAAATTTCTTAAATTAATTTATTTATTAAACTGTTTCAAATTAAAAATAATAATAATAAATAATAAAATAATAATTTTAAAACCCAGCTATCTGGGCGAACATTTAACGAATATTTTTTTCAAGCTTCAATCAAGGTTCGAGCTGAACCTTTAACGAATATTAAATTTAAATCTGAAATCAAGGTTCGAGCTGAACCTTTAACAAATATTAAATTTAAATCTTTAATCAAGGTTCGAGCTGAACCTTTAACGAATATTTAATTTAAAGCTTTACTTAAGGTTCGCGATAAACATTTGTTCAAGTGCGGACATTTAAATATTTACAGAAGCTTTACTTAACCTTTATTCTATATACTGCGAACATTGAAAATAAATATTTAATAAATATTTATTAAATCTTCGGTGCTACGTGGGCATCGATTTAGAAATTGAAGTATGTAATGTAAATTAATTTTTTTCATCATAATTATCTCTAAAACATGTCGTTTACTGTTTTCATACGAAAATTTTTTAATTATTAATATTAGCTCTTAGCAATGTATTGTTTAAAAAAATTTTTTAATTTAAACATACCTATTAAAAATATAAAGTTGAATCTCTCATTCATAATTTATTTAATAATGTAATCTACATTAAATATGAATAAAATGTCATTTACATTTGCTTGCATGTCTAGGATGTCGGCCACTGTACCAGTTACCCTATCTGTTGAAAGAAAATTAAATTTAAAAAATTGTTTATTTTTACATAGCTTTAGAACATCAATATTTCTTCTCATATCGATATTAAATTATTTTCTTAAATTTGTGCATGTTTTGTTCAGGATGGCTTATTCTTTGCTAAAAATAGATTATCTACAACTTTACTGAAGTAAATTTTTTCTAAAAATGCTCAGAAAGAAATGCAATTTAACTTGAAAGTTCATTTGTTGACAGTTAAATCCCGGTAACAATTTTCCCTAATTTTCCCTTAACATTATCATTAAAATAAGACATTTCACATAATCCTATGATAATTTTACTATATTTAAACTATGTCTTATTTAAATGTATTTATTTATGTATATATTGATTGGATAGAGCGTGGAAACGAAATCGATCTCAAAAGAGATAAAATATAAGAATTTATGTGTTTTATATTTATGAGCCTCAAAAATATCTCAAAGACGTCTTTTGGACATGTTTCTCGTGTCTTTTAGACAATTTTCGCACTCGCTTAAAAAACCGAGGAATCCGTACCCAGTAAAAAATAAAGGATACAAGAACCGCGGATTCCGGATACAAGCTCAATAGCTGGTAAACGCATCAGTGCGAATCTCGGATACAAGCACTATTCGGTATCCGAAATGATCATAAGCTTGTAAACGGAATGAAACGGAAGACTTTTGTAGGGCTTTTAATAAAAAAAATCAATTAATTGGGTCCAAAAACTATGGGAAATTAAATAAGAATCAAAAATAAATGATTATTTATTCAAGTTTACTAACATTTAAACAAAAAACAATTATTCTTACTAATTCTTACCTCTGCATTAAAAACATTGTGAAAACAGTGTTTTGTTGGTAATCTTACCTTGCTATTCAGAAAATATTTTTTCCTCCCTTACCGACATTGAATATTAATTTAACGCTAGTTTTTTTCGAATTTTCATTTTCAAAGGCAATCCTAAATGCTTTAATTAAAAGGGAGAAATGAAATTAAAAATAAGCACTTAATTATGTCTAATAATACTTTAATAATATTATATGTTTATAAATATATATATTTATACTACCCGTATTCATAATAAAATTTTTTTATTTCTTATACATTATTATTTCAAAGAAAAATTCTTACATATTCAGATTTCGAATTAATTGGAAAAAATGTCACCTTATTCGACGTACATTGTAAAACAAGTCGATGTTTCAATCTTTTATAAAGTTCATAAAGAAATTATTATTTATGTACAATATTATACAGTTCAATGAAGAAAAATTTTCAAAAATTAATTTTAAAAAATCTATTTTCTTCTTAACATTTTTGTCTGATTTGTTTATTTAATTAAATTAATTTGATAATAATTGTCCTAAAATTAATAATACAATTTTTGAACTTTTAACCGCAGAACCTTTCAACATAACTTTCATGAAAACTTATATAATGTGAATTCTTTCAAATTTGCTATGACAAATAATGAAAATAATTATTAATTTTCTTTATATTTCCTTCTTTTACGTATTTTGATGCGCTGATTACGAAAATCATAGTAACTATACCCAAAATTTTTATTTTTATAGTCAAAATCATAAAAAATTCCTAAAATTTTTTTTTAGATATTGGGTAAAAATATGCAAAATATTCAAAAAGTACATAAGATACCATAAAATGGGGTAAAGTTGGGCGAGTTCTTTAAGTTTTTCTTAAAAAAAACTTTGAGAAAAACATAAAATACAATGTTAATACTTTTAATATCTCTTCTTTAATATCATTACATAAAAAAATTCATTTAGTTTTCAGAAAAATATCTAAACACCCTTTTATTGTCGTCGACTTTTCCACCGAATTCAATAATATTTGTAAATAAATGTTTTTTAAAATTCTTGTTTATTTTATCACAATTTATCTTTATGGTAAATCATGCCAGGGATGTTTGAAATACGTTGTTCAGTTGACTTTGTCATAAAAAATTTAAATACAACTCTAAAATCATGTTTTCAAAACTATTTAGTAAAAATGTAAAATGAACATTTGTATAAAAACACATATTTCAGTAAAATTATCCACTTAATATGAATGGAACAATTGTCAAAGTAATGTTTGACGTCCCTACAATACAAACTAAAGTAATTATAATAAAATGATTTTTTTATTGGAAAGAAAAAAGAAATTTTTTAAATTAATTTGTAATAATCGCTGACTTTTCCCCTAACGCCGACTTTACCCCATTTACGGTATAAAAAATGTATTTAAATTAAAAATTCCGAAAATATAGAAAAAATGTTTTCCCACGACCGGACAAGGCTTAAAATTTTTGTAAAAGAAATTTGTTTTTTAGAAAATTAAAAAAAATCCACGAATACAAAGAGTTTTTAAAACATGATTTTTTTTAAATTACAAAAATTATAGTAAATTTTTAATGTATAAATTTTTGATTGGAATTTTTGAAAAAGTTCAGTTAACACACATTTTGAAAAAAAACTGAAAATTGATGCATGTTTAAGAAAGTTATGAGCATTCAAAAATAAAAAATCATTAAAAATTTAAATTTTGAAAAATTCATATTTTGTAAACGGCTTGATGAAAAAAATTGATTTGTATTCAATGAATTAACATTTAAATTAGATGAATTTGACTTGATCCAGAATGAAGTTGAAGTGGTTGAACATCCAATAAATATGTTTGTTCTTGAGGCGATTTATTTTGTTGAGGTATAATTCGGTTAGGCCTCGAAATTGATCTTTCTGTATTGCTTTTATCTCTGACAAGTTGATTATTCACTTGTCGATTCTTGTTGTGGGTGGGAATATCTCTTAGCAGTGTATTGCAGATAGACGTTATAAGATCCAGTTCTAGATAATTATGAGATGAAACTCCACTGTAATCCTCTTCTGTCACGGGTGCCAATTTCGAATTAAAGAATTCTTTAACAGAAAAAGATGATCATAATTCGAGAAATAAGCAAATATAGTGTTGAATACGAATAAAACAGAAAATTATTTACCTTATAGTGGTTTAAGAATATCCATAAATTCGTCAAGATTTGTCTGAAGTGCGGTTCAAAACTAGGCTGAATAAAATCAGTCAGACTGGCTCTTCGAGCTGTGAACAATTGAACACAAATTTAAAATGAAATTCGAAAGAAAACAATGTTATAATTACAGGGTTGCCACAAAAATTTCATTATTTTTCGTGACTTCGCGATTATAGTTTCTGATTTTCTCTGACATGGTCGGATTTTGTTCATTTCTATGAAATGTGAATTTTGAGAAAAAATTAGATTTGTTGAAGGTCGTTGACATTTAACGAATAGTAATTCTTAACTCTTTCAAATGTAATTTTTTTATTACATAAAACAAATTAAAATGGGGAGAATTTTGAGTGTGACAACTTTTTTTTTTTAGTAAATTAAAATACATTTTATAAGATTTTTATTTAGTATTTATTTTTTACTTAACCACATTAAAAAAATGTATATCATTCAAATACTTGATTATTTGAGAATTATCAAATAAATATTTACTGGAATCCAAAATTTTTTATTTGAATTAGATAAATTGTATATGAACTAATAATTTTCTTTTTTAAAACAAAAAATCATTTAATTGCCACAAATAATAATTATTATAAATTAGAACAAACTGACAATATTTTCCAAACATTAAATTTAATAATTTTCAAAACAAAATGCCACAGTATTGCCAAATGCTGAAATTTTGAACAAGAGTAAAGTTTTGAAATATCAAGCAATTAAAAATTTCTAAAAAATTGAAGTTTTTTTTAAGGATTTTAAGTTTAAAAAAATTTGAAGAAAATTGAAGGCTTTCGAGATTATTGAAGTCACTAGATACTCTCTAAATGGAATAAAATTTTTTACCTTTAGATTTGTTAAATCTCAAAATGCGGAATATAAAAATCCATTCGATGAAGATCTACGTCATGAATGTTCCTCCTTTGTTTAAAAAATTCTAATAAATATAATATCCGAGGTATAACTTTGTACTGACTCCAAAAATTTCTTCGCCTGTAATTTAAAAATGAAGAAATAATCGTGTAACTATTATATGAAATAATATTTAATTCAAGTAGGTAAATCATAATTATTCATATAATTGAAAAATTTTTCGATTATTGAGTAATTAAAATAATTTGTAGCAATTTAAAATTTTTTAAAATTTAATTTGTGAAATTTAAAAGTTGTCTTTAGTTAAAGTTAAGAAAAATTTCAAGTTGAACAAAATTTGCTGAGTATAGGAAAATTTTGTATAATTTATGTTTAGTATTAAGAAATGCAGCTGAATTCTTTTCATTTGATAAAACTGAACGAAAAAATTTGTCAAATTAATTATTGTGTTAAAAAAATGATAAATTTTAAGAATAAAATAATTTATTCCACTTATTTATGCTTAATCTGATCCTTTATCATCCTGAGTCATTAGTCAAATACATAATATTATTTTTTTAAATTGAAACGGACATCCCTCTTTTAGCAATATAGTTTATGTTGTTGTTGAGAAATTTAGTTGACTGGACTTTTGTAGTAATTTTCTTGGTGGTCGATGAGACTTTACCTTTAGATTATTTCAGTCAATTGATGTTTCGGTGAAATAGTGATATTAAGGTTCAACAAGTTGATCAGGGAATCAGTTTTCGGTGGTTTAACATTTTGCATTATTGGTATTTGTTGAGTGGGCAAATGTTTATTGAACCTCCCAGCGATTTGGCAAGACACAAATAAACGGTTTATTTCTAAAAACCAATGCAACTACTTTTGAATCAATTTCATCAAAAGGAATAATTTGCGATTTCAGTGGAGAAGCTGCAACTTGAAAAATGTGTTTCATTTGTACACTTCCAACGAAAAACGGTTCCACTAGTATTTCGTTTACAGCGAAATAAAATCATTCATTTTTTAAAAAAATGTCGACAATTTGTGCTATAATACCATTTTTTAGTTGAATAACGGAATCATTGTAACTTTCGTTTTGCTTATATTTTACTGATGTGAAAATGGTTCCATTCGCAACACACCGTAGAAAAGTCTCACAATTTTCGGGGGAATCGTCTGACAAGTAAGCATTAAAAAAATGTATGTTGACGATAGTAGATAAGCTATGGGAGTTCTAGATAGTAGAAATCTGTTACCGGCATTACCAGCATTACTTTTGCTTATTATGCATGACAACAATAAGATCAATGACTCATCTTATGTAATTAAAATTCCTAGTATTATATTAATTCATAGAATTGTTTTTAATGGATAATCCTTTGGCGGCAAGTCTTTGATCTAAGCGCATTTGAAATTTTCATAAAGAATTATTTTCTTTTTGACAAGTTTATTTTATGAAATGATTAATTTTTCATTGTCATATACTATTAATTCATGGAATTGATATTAACAAAAAAGCCGAAAGTGCTTTGAGGTACAGTGTATGACTTAATTTGTTTAGTCTACATACCTATTTTTTCCCTAAAAATTTATTATTTAATCATGTTGGAATGTTCATGAGTAATTTTTTCAGTATATAAGGTGCATTATTTACGCGTTTTATTCAGTTCTAAAAATTCGTAACAAAGAATGCTGGATAGTACAAAGAAAGCAGAGTTAAAGTGTCGAATCAACAATTTCTTGGAGCAGATACAAGAATTAAAGAGCTTCATTGAAAGTTTGGAAGCTTATCGCCGATTACTTAAGGAATTTGAAAAAATAAACATCTAAAATATAAAAAATGAGTTTTTCTAAATTGAACAATGCTGGAAGAGGAATGAACTTTCTACCTACGAAGAAATTAAGTGAATTAGTGGAAAATCATCAATATAACGTTTCAGACGTGAAGACTGAGAAAACAAAATTTGGACTGAGAGTTGTTGCAGAATTAGAAAGCCAATATCAAGTGTTTTTACCGAAAAGAATTGTGGACGTCATTAATGAAGACGAAAATTTATTGCCACATTTAAAAGAACTGTGTTTAAAGAAAAAATTAAATTTTAAATATCTGGGAGGACCACATAATTTTTTTGAATTCGTAGAACTGTAAAAAAAGTGTCATGAATTGTGTGCCAAAAAAATATTTAATGTTTTCAACAACATTTAATTTGAATTCATCATTTACGAAGCAAATTACAATAGGCGCAGAATTTTCATCAGCCGGAGAATTAATTGGTGTTCTAAAATTTGTATCAAGTCATCCACGGAGCAATATTTCACTTTATCTTCAAGATTGGAGAATTTTTAAACAATAAGGCGTTGTCCGCAGTGGCGAGACAGCCGGTGTGGCGAGACATTAGGATATTTCAGACAGCTGAACTGACTGTGCTGGCACTTCTGGTCTGAAAGTCAAGTTTTATTGTGCTTTAACTTTTCAATATGATACATACGTTTTTGATGTACGAAATATCGCTATACTGATAATAACAGTTTCAAGATATTTTAGAAGTTTTATTTCCCATCGGTATAAGTGATAATATATAAAAATTTCCGCAATTTTCTGAAGGGTTAAATGTTTTGAGTCTTTAGTATTTAAGTTTCCTTCAAAATTTCCAGAGCACTATGAATTATTGTTCGATGCATAGGATTGTACATCGTCATTACCGAAAAATGCTTTTTCCGCATTGGCGAGACACTTGTTGTCGGCAGTGGCTTTTTAATATCTAATAATATTGTACATGTCCTAATGAATTTGATATCATTTTTGTACGTTTTGTCGACAATATTTTTCATAACTATAGTTTAAATTGAAAAAGATGAACAGGAAGAAAAGCTTATTTGTTTTTAATAACTGTGACATGGATTAGCGGCTCACAATCAGAAAAATATTTGCCTGTATTTTTATGATTGAATAAAACAATATTATGATTTAAAGGCATCAATTATTATACTCTTTCTCTTTGATTCCTTTGTTTTTGTTACGTTTGAACGATAAAGACTCTGATTTTAAGATAGTGTCTCGCCACTACGGACGATTTTTTATGTCGGTAGTCGCGAGACATTATCGTAAATCGGCAATAACTTTTTTTTCCAGTTCTGTAACTGTATAAGTTAAATTTGCAGTATAGAGTCACACCTGTCCATGGATATATATACAGACTTGATGTTCTTGAAAATGTGAGTGCTATAACAAAAAAACAAAACGTGTCTCGCCACTACCGACTCTCCTTTACATTAACATTATCTCAGAATATTTCAAAGGTAATGAAACTCCTCAAGTAATAAAGTGTGGAAATTTTCATATTCGATTTGGAACTTTACATGGAGAAAACACAATAGCCCTCGAGGATCGAAGACACAGAAATTTTTACTATCCGTATATTTTGAAGGAAGCATCGTTTAAAATTTTGGAAAATCTCATTTTTTGTGTCGATCAACGGTTCGAATATTGATCTTCTGGACGTTTGAAAAAAGCATATTATTTAATTGTGAGAAATATTGTGGAAATTTTATGTCATAGCAATATTTTAAATCAAAAAGAAATTGAAGTTTTTGTGCTTAAAAATTATAAAAAGTTAATGATAAAACTTTTTAAAAAACATAATTTTACATCGCGTTTAGAAAGTGAAACCTTATTTGTTGATATTATTACTTTTCATTTAAAATATTTATCAAAACAAATTTGTGAACTGATTTCTAAAGTAAATAGTGTTGAAAACAGTAAAGTATAAACAACTTATATGGATGTATGCAAGATGACGTCACTACTTAAGATAAATGTACTCTTTAAAGAATGTAAGGAAGAGAGGAAATAAAAAAAAATGAATTTTTTTACATGTTGGTTTTTATTTATTTTTAAACCTTTATTTATTTATTACAAAAAATTTACAATATATTACAGATCTGATTTATTTACCCAACTATTATGCGAACTATCAAAACCTAGCCATTTAACAAATACTTTAGATCCTTGTTTTTTCAGCACTTTTTCAATTAAATAAATATCTGAATATTTAACTTTTGAAAGTTCCTGATTATAAAAGCTTCCAGATATTGGCATATCTTGGTAATCTTTAAGAAGGTTCTGTATTATTTACGTCACTTATAGTAAAAATTTCTGTAGTCCAATTTGGAGTATAACCTTTTTCAAAAATGTGTTTAAATTTAGAAATTCGCACTCTCCTACTTTAAAAGATTTTGTTTTAATTGTTGAAAATTTTTTTCTTTTAAAAATAGTAGTTAATAATTCTTTTTCATTTTGAGCAGTTACTTCTTTAGGTTTCATTTTAATAGTTCGATGTTTAGTATTATTATACTCATATATCAAATTACTTAAAATGTCTATCCACTTATAATTACCATGAAAACTAAATTGCATCCACATTTTATTTTTTAAAGTTCGATTAAATCGTTCGCATATTGACGCTTTTAAATTACTATATGTAAAATACATATTAATATTATAAGTTTTCATTAGATTTTCAAAATGTGAATTATAAAATTCTTTTCCGTGATCCACTTGTAAATTTTTTGGTACGCGTTTTTTTATAAGAACAGATTTCATTGCGGCAGCAACTTCTTCACCTTTTTTAGACTTGACAGGAACTGCCCATGCAAACTTGGAAAAGATATTAATGACGGTTAACATATATTTGTAGTTGTTATTTTCACGTGAATAGGGTTGCATTTCAACGAGGTCAGCTTGCCATGTCTCATCAATACCTCGAATGTCAACATTTCTTCGCTTATAATTTTTTCTTGCTGGCTTATGCAATTCTTTTACCAACTGCAGCTTTTGATTTTCCATTTTCACAAATCGTTCCCTCTCGTTCCTTCCTTAGATTCAATTGCTTCTAGCCTGCTGTCCAATTGAGAAATAACATCTTTCATAGACAACAACTCTATATTTCTTTCAATATGTGTTTTAAGATTTTCGAAAAATTTTGTTGTAGTATCTTCTAGTGTTGAAATTCTTGCATTATTGTCACTTTTTAATGCTTCTATTACATCATAGATGGCGTTTGCTTTAGTATCTATAATTTTGTTAACAAGGTTCAAATTAACTGCATCACCATCGCTCTCAGCATCAG